GGGGGGGGGGGGGGGGGGGGGGGGGGGGTACAGGAGAAAAACAAAGCGCTTAACCCATTGTTGCATTAGGTAGTGAAGACTTGCCCAGCACAAACAACTCACTCGTCCCTGCCCTGCCTCAGGCTTTAGGGCTGCATTAGTGGCAGCTCATGGGGCCCTTGCGCTAGGTGCTGCACATGTGGTCAGGGGCTCTCCCAAGCCCAGCAGTACAACGGACTAGCCAGATTATGGCAGACCAGTTTTTTGCAGCCAGTAGAAGGTGAGGGAGTGATGTGGCTGGCATCCTGGCTGCCCAGCCCCCGTGACCAGGTGCCCGCTGCAGAGCTGGGGCAAGTAGGGGTCTGACCCCGATCCTGAACAAACAGCCCTGGAGCTGCAGCAAGATGCCCATCTCATGGCTCTGTCAGGCACCCCTGCCCCCACACACTTACCACCTACATAAACAGGTGGACAAAAGGAGGAAGCGTTAGCTCCAATAAGAGGGAGGGAAACTGAGGCAGCAAGAGACTAAAAGACTTGCCTAGGGTGGCTGTAGCATAGCTAGGGGCTGCACCCAGCTCTCCTATTGCTCAACCACAAGACCACCTTGCTCTTTGCAGGCACTGGCTGTCTGCAGTGCCTGGGAGGGGGGCAGCCCCACTGCCCTGGATGCTGCTGTCTACCTAGCTTTCCATCTCCATGAGCAGGAACACAGCTGGCCCTCTCCCAGCCCAGCACTGAAGGGGTTACGGCTCTGGGTGTAACCCCCCAGCCCCATGCACCTCCTGCTAAGGATCACATCATGGGGAGGGGGAGGAAAGAGGTAGGGACCCCTCCTTGCATCTGATAAGCCAGGGCTCGGCTAGGTGCTCCCTTTTGCAGAGGCCCAGCCCTGGGGGAGGGCTGGTGTAAAACCCCTCCCCTGCCATAAATACCTCTGGAGGGGCCAGCTGGCCCTTAGAGCTGGCATCCTACAAGATGGAGCCTGGGGCAGTGGTGGGTGCAGGAGGGGCTCAAGGCAGCAGGGGGTCTTGTGCAAGGGTGTTGTGCAGGTAAGGGCTGGGGGCTGCAGGCTGGCAGTGCCCTGAGGTTCTGCTCTGTTTGCTGGGGCTGGGTGGTTTTTGGAGGGGGGGTTGCAGCTGGCTAATGGGAGCCTTCAGCTGGCCCTAAGTAGGCTCTGGAGTTAACCCTTTGTGCTGGCTCTAGAGTCCCTGCTGCTCCTGCCTGGCCAGGCATGGGTTTGCCCAGACTTTCCAGGGCCAGGGGTTTGCATCGTGGATGCTGACTGCAGAAGCAGCAGCGCTTAAGGCACTAGAAGCACTGGTGTTTTCTCCTCTCTGGGTTTCCCCAGTGCCTGGCTCAGGACTTCCCTTTGGTTAAGGTTTCTTTGTGCTGTTTTTAGCACCAGCTGGTGGCTGCTGCATCGTGGAGTCTGAAACGTGGGTGTGAAAGCTCCAGGGGTGGTGGATGCCTGGAAGCTGGTCTGGAGAGGGGAGGGGGCTGCAAAGGAGCACAGCCATTTTGGGATGAGTGCTTTTCTCCTCCACTTCCCCCAGGGGGTGCCCGACTCTCCAGGCATCTTCCTTTGTCCAAGCTGTTGGGCAATGGAGGATGGGGGTCCTCTCTGAGCTGAGACGGCCTGAGGGCTAGGGAGTGCTCCTGGTCTGTTCCCTTCCTTGCCCTGGGGCTTTGGCATCCCAGCTAGCCAGGCTGCTTCCCCAAGCTCCAGGGTGCCCAGTGCAGTATCCATGGGGAAAAACTGCCCCCCTGTCCTTCCCTGGTGGTTGTTGCTCCCTAGCTTGCTCCTGTGGCCATACGGCCGAGGGCCAGTGAAACTTGGGGGCACGCCTCCAGGCTGGTGCCTGCACGTAGGATGCCTGCCAAAAGATCTGCAAGTATCTGAACCCCCAGGCTGAAAAGTTTGGGGTGGAGGGTATTTGTTGGTTGTAGGGCCACTTATGGTTCGTGAACGGTTCAAAGGATTTAGAGTTGATCTGGCTAACGACCTGGGGCATCATTTTTATTTTATTTTTTTTAAGGAAAGAGGGTGGCTGTTGCTCTGTTCCCAAACCACTGGTGAGCTCGGTTCAGAGGCTCCTTTCTTAATGCACCGTGGCTCAGTGAGGCCGCACAGCTCCCAGGCACCCGCGGGAACTAGATGCAACTCCCAAGAAGCCCAATATGCTCCTGCTTTGCGCCCCTAGCAAAGAAACAAACCAGCACTGGATAGAGAAGCCTCTTGCCATGAGCAGCCTGGCTTGCACTGGGTGAGCCTTGCTGGCTATAAGGGCCCCGGGGGAATATGGGGTCACATTTCTGCAGCCTCCAGCAGGCCTGCACTGTCCAACTGAACAGTGCTTGCAAAGGTCTGGGAAGCAGGGGGTTCGCTGTAGTTTGGGGCCGGAGTGGCTTTGCAAGTGCCGCTTGGATGGGGCTGTGTGGTGGCAGACCCAGGGCTGCGCAGGCTGGGCTGGTCCATCATGCGAGTGCATGTAATCGCCTTTCCCACAGGAACTTTGCCCGCGGAGCCTGCAGATGGGGTCAGAACTGCCGTTTCTTGCACGACAGGAAGTCGGCCCAGATCTGTAGGTATTTCCAGAATGGGTTCTGTGGCTACGGAGACCGCTGCAGGTGAGGATGTGGCCTACGATAGTCCAAACCCATGCTAGAGGCTGGGGTCACGGGCTCCTCTGAGCAGCCAAGACCAAACCCTGGCACGCGTGCTCCTGCTCCCAGCCTGTGCAGAAGTTGGGGAGCGAGAGTCTCCAGAGTCTTGTCTAACGAGTCCCAATTCTCCATTGGCGGCACCAGTGGAGGCTGGGAGGGGGTGCAGGGATTTTGCTATGGGCACCCCCTTGCCCAGGGTTCAGATAAAGACGGGGTCCAGGTAGGCACAGCCTGGGAGAGTGTAACTGGTGTGGTAGCTCCCACAACACCAGCTTCATTCCCCTGCCTCCTGCATACCAGGAGATGATGATTTAAAAAAAAAAAAAATTTTCAGCTGTTGGAAGTCATACGATGAAACAGGGTGTGGATGTCTTCCACTAAAGTTGGTGATGGGGGTCTTGATCCGCTAGACTTGTAGAAACATCTTCCCCAGTGGTTAGAGCAGGAGCTGTTCCCTCCAGGTCCCACTGTCCATGCTCCTTGGAGCAATGCTGCCCCGAATTGGGTGCTACCTTGTGCCTCCCCTTGCACCTCCCTATGCGGCTTCCTCCCTCTGACTCTTCCAGCTACCAGCACATCCAAGGAAACCCAGGGCCTGCTTGGAGCCAATGCGGGGCTGAGCCTCCCTTGCTGAGCCGCCGGGGCTCGGAGCCGGCCAGCGTGCCAGAGGCAATAGCCAGGAGCTGGGGAGGAGGAGCCAGGCGCGGCTCTGCGCCGGCGGTCCCCAGCGTCGCACAGCTGCAGCTGAACTTCATGTATCTGAGCACCGAGTTTGAAGAGGAAGAGTATGACAAAGAAAACGTCCCTGATGCCCGGCACCCCCCAGACTGGGCCCTCAGCAGCGAGTTTGTCCCACGACAGGCCCAGCAGGACTCGGGTGAGGGTGTGTGGGACCAGAGACGGGCGGGTTTTGCAGACAGCCTGAGCAGGCAGTGCTTCCAGTGCACCCTACAATGTTGTCCAATGTAGTTGAGATGAGACGGGCTGGCAAGTTGGCATCCATGGGTGGCTTTTGTTTGAGCAGCTCTCTCCTGGGGAGACTGCATGGAGCTGGGATGCAGCCCTGGAGGTTAAGATGGCTGCAGGTCTGTACAGCAGGCTCCCACTTGCAGTCTGGCTCTTCAAATCCCTTCTTCCCTTCATGGGTGAACAGGACTCTTCCAGTCGCTGAGTCTTGTACTAATAGTTCTGTTCCTGGGCAGGTTCCAGAAGAGGAGAGACAGGACCTGAGAGAGCTTCTCTGGAGCCAAAAGTCATGTCCAGCAAGACCATCCTACCATCGGCTCACAGCATGGAGGTGTGTGGGGCATGATGCCCCCTCCGGAGGGGGTGGGGGGTTGGTATTTCTGCTCTCCCCAGTGGGGAATGCAAATGGGCAGCACTGAAAGCCACCCTCTGCAGTGCATGTAACCTGCTGCTGTGGTTCTCTGCAGGCCGCCGGGGAGCTGGGTGCCGGCGCTGCTGCTGGGGTGGAGATGAAGAGCAAGGACGTGGTGTGTGGCATCTGCATGGACAAGGTTTATGAGAAGGCCTTGCCTCAGGAGCGCCTGTTTGGGATCCTCCCCAACTGCAGCCATGCCTACTGCGTTGGCTGCATCAGCAAGTGGCGGAAGAGCCGGGACTTTCAGAACGCCGTGATAAAGTGAGTGCCTGTGGCAGTCACCGAGGTGGGTGGACGGGTCCATTGGCAAGGCATGCTGTGGTTGGCATTGCTGCTCTGCGCTCCAGCCTCCTATCTCAAAGTTTTGGGGTTTTTTCTTTCTTCCCTGTTACTAATACGTCCCCCAAATTCCCTTTGTCCTTTTTTTTTTCTATTGCATGTATAGAGTCCTTTCTTGCTACCTCTCCTCCTGTGTTAACAGGTGTTTAGCTAGCTGGTGAGCATTTCTGCTGCTTGCCCCTACACTGCTTGCTCTTCTGTACTCCTCATATGGCTTTGCCTTATGATTCCTTTTTGAGTCTTATCTTCCAGGTTGCTGCAGAGCCCCTGCTGCAACCAACAGTGGTCTTTTTTTTTTTTTTATGCTCCTTATTTGTTTCTGTTGCATTGGGCAGATAAATGAGATGGAGGAGGTAGGGTCAATCTTTCTGAGTCCTGTTCTCAGTATTGTTATACCATTGTTCCCTGAACAAATGGGAAACCTGTCTAGGACTTGAAGCATCTAGTGCATCTCGTAGTGGGCTCTTTTTTTTTTCCTCCTTTTTAAAGAGCCACAATCTGACAGGAAAAAACCATCCACCTCCAAGCTTTACCAATCACAGCAGCCTCTTGAGCAGGGGTTGCTGGTTTTCCCCTTCTCCATTTCCGCACCCCCCCCCTTCCCTTAGACTTCATTGCCTACCAAATACCCACTCCAGCGACAACTTCTACTGGCTGCTGTTGTATAGTGGAGTTTAGTGCTCTGGGCTTTTGTGAAATAGGTGGTAGCACTACCTGCCTGAGGACTGGCCTGGCATTAGGTCCCGGTCCCTAGGGGCAGTGCCCTCCATGCTGATGAAATCCCCTGCTCTGCCCGCAGGGCCTGCCCCGAGTGTCGAGTCATGTCCAGTTATTTCATCCCCCACAAATACTGGATCTCTGACATGAATGAGAAAGAGAAGTTGATAGAAACCTTCAAGGCACGGACTGGGTAAGTGGGTGACACCTGCACATGGTCAGGTAGGGTGGGAGGGCCCTGCAGAGATGCCTGTTGTCCCAAGGGTGCAGGCCCTGACTCTGCTGGCTCATAGGTGGGTCTTCTATCAGCGCTTGAAAATTTTTTCCATCTGAATTCACGAGAATTTAACTCTCCTAGAAAAATCAGATGCAAGTTCTTTGTCCGAGGTCGTGGCCACTGTCCCTTCAAATCGGAGTGCATCTACCTGCACGAGCTACCTCGAGGCCAGTGCCCTGCCACGAGACCCCCTCGGCACAGGCCGCAGCGCAGAGGAAGCCCCGTGGTAAGTCTGGCTGGCTCAAGACTCTCCTGAGCCACGAGGGGCAGGTGTTTGCTGGGGCTGGAGAGGGAGGCTGGATGCAACAGACCTGGCCACTGCTCTGCAGGTGAAGAATAAAAAATGGTGCTGCTCAAAACATTGCCAGAGCTGGGATTTGGTGAGAGATCATGACAAGTGTCCCAGCTAGCTTTTCTTCTGTATCCACCTACCCCAGGGGCCTCTAGTGACCCCATGAGCTCACTGAAACTGTGTAGCAGAGGGGAGGAGGATGGGACACAAACCAGCAGCAGGCTGCTTTGGATCCACTGATGTCTCCAGCTTTTTCCTCCAGTCCACACCCATCTTGTACACATGGCTTACTCTACTACAGTGGCTCTCAACTTTTGTTTTTGTACCAGGACCCGTTTTGTAAGCACTGATGGCCAGTCCTGACCCACAGCCCACTGCAGGCTGGAACTCTTGACAGCTTGCAAGATAAAAGCCACGGTTTCGCACATTTTTTTTTCTTTTTTGAAGGAGAATCTATTTTATTGTTCCATTTTTTTTTTTTTTCAAGTTGCTCACGACCCTCTTGCATATCTTGTGACCCATTTCTGGGTCATGACCCGTGGGGTGAGAAACACTTCTCTAGCAAACATTCTCACATTGATTCACTTAGACCCTTGGTTTTACTTGGAGTCTACAAACCAGATTTGACATAGGGGTCAATCACTGGGATTTATACTCTTGTGAAAATGCTCCCTTCCAAAAGGTGGAATTTCTTTTACTGTCTTGGATTGCTATTCATCTCCCTCCTGTCTTCCATTCTCCTTATTGTTACAGTCTCTTAATGAGGCTGACTTCACAACTTAAGAGAAATATTACAGTGTGGCTATGCTGAGGGTTGCATCCATCACTACTGCTGATGTGCACGAGCTAAAGCTTGACTGAGCTATGTGTTGTTTATGCCAAGGCCCGTCTGTGTGGTGCTTCCCACCAGGCCTTTCTTCTTAAACCCAAATGGCATTTTGCTTAGCTTGGTAATTTCCGCTTGATTTTTAAACTCCTGTGCTGCTGTAGCCTTTTAACTGCAGGATGAAATCTGTAAGTATTTAAATGGTTTGAGGCCCGTGCACTGCAGTTACTTGGGTAGCTTGAGGTCTACTGCTTGGCTGCATTCCTACAGTTTTGCCCAGACACTTGGAAGAAAAAAAAAAAGAAGTCTGAGGCTGGTAACTCAACTCTGCAGGATTGGGGCCTGGAAGCAGAAAGACTATAATGTACAGATCCAGCTGCAACTGTCAGTGTGCCTCAGAGAGCACTTGCCCTGTGACTCCTGGCACCGTGGCAGCCTCTGTACTGGGAGAGCTGGGGTTGGCATGGAGCTCCTCTATCTTGTTCCTAGCGTGTGATCTGGGTTTGTCTCAACTGCCTATTGCACCATGGTTTCCAAGGCAGGGCAGGTCTATGGAAGATGATGGCCTCTATCACACTCCTTCCTGAGGGTAGCTCCATTTTGAACTCCTTTGCAGATCTGTAGTTTTCCTGTGTGTGGTGAGCTTGTCATGTCCTGTGTTGCAGGTGTTCAATCCCTCTCCTTCAGAGAGCTCCGACGAAGAGGGAGATGACTTCTTTCTTGTCCAGTGGGAGCTCACCTGTGCCCTGTTGCAAGAAGGTTTTGGGTACTTGGACAATTGCCATGAGCTTTTCTACTGTGATTCCAGTGACTCCGAGTAAACCAGTGACCTGGGGATCTATGACTGGGCCTGGATGGATGGATGGATGGCTTTGATGCCACCAGCGACTTGTGAAACTACTTTGGGGGTGGGGTGGGGAGGAGGAAGAGATGACCTCCTTTTAAGCTGCTTAGCTGTCTGTCTGCCTGGCAGGGCCTCTAGTATCTCATTTGGAGCTGTTCTGTAGATGGGAGACTGTAATGCAAGATCCTGCTTTAGACAGGGAAGCTAGCTTCCACAGGGAGAGGGATCTCTCTCGCCTTTTTCTGGCCTGCCTAGTGTGAGATGTTAGCCCTGTTACCACTTCATGTCACATTTCCCTCCCTCCCTTTGGCCCTTCTCTAATGAATTTCATGCCTCTCTACCCAGTTCCCTCACCCTCTCTGGTTCCCAGCATGGGTTCTGGTGGCAGTTCATACCTTCCCCTAGAGCAAGCAGCTGGGAGGCCTCTTGCTGGGGTTCATAGTCTCCTGCAGTCACAGCATTGCACCTTTGCAAGGCTGAGCGGTCTGCGCCTTTTGTGCTGCTCATGCTGGTCTCTGGGAGGAACTGGCTGAGCAGCACTGCCCAAACTGGGCAGTTTCTGCATCTTTGCTGCAGTGGTGCAATGCTGTTGGCTGCCTATATGTAGACTTAAGCAGGGCAGCAGTCTAGCATTAGTGTGTGTGTGCAGGGGGTAGGAGAGTGTTTGGGGGTTTTTATTGATGCAGCGATCCGTCTTGGCAGCTGTGTAACCTGATCAGCGAGCCCTATGAAGTGGAAGGGCCACTGCCTGTTCCCTAAGCTGCCTGTGCCTGTATATGGCAACTTTTTTTAACTCTTGCAACTTACAGATTTTCCTGAACAATAAAATGAGCTTTAAAAAAAAATCAGCCCTCTGACTGCAGACTTCTACAGGGGCAGAGGAAAGGAGGATGGGAGCAAGGATTTACCCTGAAACTCTCCCTCTACCCCTCCCTGGCTCAGGGCTGTATGGATCAATGCCTTGCTTGCACTACTCTACTCGCAGCCCCTCTGTGTGCTCTAGCCTAGATTCCCATTCACACCTGCTGCAGAAATTGTGCCATGGTGGGTCCTAAGACAGCAGCCTTTGCTGCTGCTGGCATCTGGCACTGGCCCTAGCGCTTCCCTCCACTAGAAACCAATTCCTGAAGCCCCTGGCTGTGGGCTGGCCTCATATAAGGCTTGGAGGGGAGGCAACTTGTTGGAGCAGAAATGTTTCCTTTGTCATCTGCTGCCTTCTGTGTCACCCTTACTTCACAATAGCATAATCTGCTCAGTCTCGCATGTCTTCACGTGCTGCTACTGTGGCTATTGAGTGGGGGCAGGGTAGCTGGGGATGGCACATGGAGACTTGGTGCTATTTTAATGCCAAGTTACTTCCACTCCTTTCAGAGGAGCCTGTTGAGATGAGGGAAGACATGTTGGGTCCCTCTTCTATTACTGATGCTACCTTTGCCCAAGAGTGTTGCCCTGTTCTTGCTGGGGTAAGTTAATGGGGAAAGGATATGCTGGCTCCTCACATCTAGTTCCCAGGAGGACAGGTTTATTGCCCTACAGGGTGTGTGTGGGTGGAGAGGCGCTCAGTCACAGATGAGCTTACAGACCCTTCCACAGGCCTGTGAAATGCTGAAGAGTGTTGCACCTGCAAGCCTCACTCAGCACGTAGACCCCAGGTTCAGGTCTGGGTTAGATGTGCAGTCCCTGCCCTGCCTGGACTGGGAGCTTCGGCCAGATCTTGCTGCTGGTGCAGGTGCTTATGGAGTTGGCAGAGAGCTTTGCTCCTGGCCAGCTGACAGTGTCCTCAGTCTGGACCTGGTGGACTCTTTCACAGATGCATCTCTGATGCAGTTTTCTTTTTAAAAAAAACAAAACGGTTGTGTTCCAGGGCAAATCAAGTCCAAATCCATGAGTCAGCGCAGAATCATAAGTCGCCCTACAACCGGCAAACATCCTCCACCCCCGCCAGAGGCTTCAGATATTTCCAATGTCTTTGGCAGGCATCCTATGTGCAGACCCAAGTCCAGAGGCTTAGGGGTTTGGACGCCCCCAAGTTTTGCCCGCCCTCAGCCATGTGGTGCAGGAGCAAGCTAGGGAGGAGCCTCCCATTTCCATAAAATGGGCGTTAAGCCCCAACACCTCGGCAGGTACTAAACCACGCCAGAAGAACATCATGGGCCCAGATTTTTATTTTGTTTAATTTTTTTTGAAGAGGATATGTCTATATATATATATCTACATTCCTCATATCCCACCACCAAAGGAAAAACCTTCCCCCGCTACAAAAACTGCACCCGTACAAAGGCCCGCTGGCCACCTGAACCCGTTACAACACCTGCACCGCACGCAACACACAAAACAACTAAGCCCATCCTGGTCCCTCAGCCCAGGCCACACTTGCTTTCCACCCCCCCTTGCTTGCGGGGTCACATCCTCAGTTCAAGTGTCCTCTCTGTCATCATCTGTCCAGCTCCCGCTGGAGGACTCGCTGCTGCTGTCGCTGTCACCGGCCTCTGTCATGGACCCAGACACATGGTGTTTTAATCTACCCTCTTATATGACGTTTCCCTTGCCACTGCAACAGCCCCTACCTCTTCTATTCGCGGTGGGGGTGGAGTGCTGCTGTAGATGGGGTGAGGGGTGGATCCAGAGGGGATGCAGGGGCACGGCTGCACCCCCCTTGTAGAAATGGAGCCCCCCCCCCCCGGACTGTTTAGGTCTTTAAAGCAGGTGAAAATCCCACCCTCCCCTTCCCTACCTCTTGGGCCCATTCCCCCCCGCCTGCCCCGCGCAGAGCAGGACGGGGAAGGCGAGCGAGGGATTTCCCATTTCCCAGGCTCCTGTTGCTGCCACTGGCGCATGCCCGCCTATTCCGAGCCTGGGGGCGGGGCCGGGGGAGGAGCCACAGCTCGACCCGCCCCGCGCCCGCCACCGCCACCGCCCGGCTTCGCGTCACTTCCGCTCCTGCTCGGGTTCCTGCTTCCGGCCCCTGGTTGCCAGGCTGGTCTGCGGCTCCGCTTCCTTGCCTCAGCGCTGCTTCCCCTGCTCGCGTGCGCTGCAGGAGATCAGTGCGGTGGCTGGGTTTTCCAAAGGGCTGGGACCAGCCGTAGGGAGCGAGGAGGAGGCCGACCGCATCCTGCGCTTGGGGCAAAAGGGAGTTGCGGCTGGTCAGGGATCTAGATCCACCCCGTGCAATCTCATGCGCTCAGCTAAGTATGTCCCAGGAGGTCTGCGCCCTCCTCCCAGCCTGCCTGGAGATGAGAGCTCGTCCGAGTGGACAGAGCGGTGGTCTCGGAGGCAGCGAGGAACAGCAGTGGGAGCCCTGGGGCTGAGCTGGGCTGGGGCAGGGTGTTGCACACGGGCTCACGTGCTGACCGTCTCCTTTGCAGTCCCCGCGGGATGGAGCAGCCCTCGCCCCCCTGGCTGCGGAGGTTCGACAGGCCTTCCCGCCTCCTCCTCCACACGCTGACGTCTGGGCCGTCTGGGGCACTGGCGGCTTGCCGAGCCCTCCCGCGTGTCCAGTCTCGCAGCCCGCCAGGGGAGGCCTTCCACTGGAGGACCTTCATAGCCACCTTGTGCACTGAGGATCTGGTGCTGGAGGGGCCTGCGGAGGCCCTTGCCTTGTGAGTGCCGCGTGTTTCCTGTTTGGAAAGCTTGTCGTAGCCCCTCCCCTGTGACACAGCTGTTCTAGCCCCTTGGGGGCCTGTTCCTGCTCCCAACTCCTAATAAAGCCCTGAAGGGCCACATCTCTTGCTCACCGGCTTTATTGCTGGGAGTTTGGGATGAGTGAAGATGGCAGCTTTGGTCTTAGGGATGCACCTAAGATTACCATGGGTAATCACCTGCCCATGTGATTACCTGCTGAAGCTTCCCCATGGAGTGGGGTTAACTCCCTGGTTCACAAACGCTGAGGCATCTGGAGTGCATCGTCCCATGCCAGCTCACGAGGAGCTTCCAGTCCCAGCACGGGATAAAGCTCAGGACCTCCTGCCTGTAGGCCACCAGACATGTTCACTTTGAGGCCCAGGCCAGGACCTCATCCCTCCCAAACTTTGTGGAAGGGGGACAGTCTGGGTCTCAGTTAGCCTCCCGCTGCTCTCCTCCATATGTCCTCTTCCCACGGGTGGGTGGTGGCTTGGTGCTTTGGGAGGCAGCACCCAGCTGGGCCAGACAGGAGAGTTTCCAAGATTTAATCACCCCGAATCCTTCCCTTTGCCTTCTGCTCCTCCCTCAGGAAGCCGCTGCTGCTGCTGCTGCCCGTGCTGTGTCAGAGAAATCTCTTCTCGCTGCTGCACATGGTGCAGTCCACCGTGCCGAAGGACTGTCTCGGCCAGCTGCTTCAGGCCGTCGGACAGGATCCCAGTCCAGACCTCTGGGTGCGGGCGCTGGCAGATCTGCTTGAGCAGGGGCTGACAGAAGAGAGACGCTGCTCAACTCCAGTTCCCCTGACTGCCGCATGCCAGCAGCAACTGAAGCATTTTTGCCAGAAAATCACGGGTACTGCTCAGCAGAAACCAGAGCAGGAGAGGAAACTAAACTGGTGCATCAGCAAGCCCCCAGGCTCTGAGGTAGGGCCTGCTGGGGTCCCAGACTCGGCATCGCAAGTCAAGAAGCGCAAGAAAGGAGCCGAGGAAAGTCTGGAGCCCAAGGGGGAGAGGCAGAGGAAAAAAGCACGCTTGGATGAGGTTGGATTTGAATTGGGACAAAGCAGCTTCCAGAGAGGAGCTGATGCTGCTGGTGCTGGGGATGAGATCGTGAGAGAGGTCTTGGGGCACGAGCCTGCTCAGAGCCAGAGATCCCAGCAGGATGCTGGTACTGAGATGAGAGATGCCAGTCAGAGTTTGCAGCAGGATGCGGCGGGGGAAGTGGGAGATGCCAGCCTGGATTCCCGGAAGGATTCGGCAGCAAAAGTCCCTGACTCCCTCCAGGTGCAGCCCAACATTTCGGTTCTCTCTGGGTGTTCAGTTTGCTCTGCGGGTGAATTCTCTCCAGGCACGCACAACATAGAGACCCGTCTTTCCACAGGTCACAGCAATCTTGCCAGATGGGCTTTGGAGGGGGGAAAATGGGGAGCTATCTGATGCTGATGTATTCCCTGCCCAATATAAAGCAGCCTCAAGGAGCTGGTCCTGCACTGTGTTGTTAAAGCTGCCAAAATCCAACTGGGGAACAGACATAGCAAGAGCTGGGTGCAGAGCTGAGGGCCTGCTCTCGGGATGGGCATGGGAGGGGCAGGAGCTATTGGGTTACCTCTCATAGGTGTTCTGGCTTTCCCTCCAGAAATGGCTGCTCCTAGGTTCCAGTGCAGAGCCAGGCTGCCTTTAAATGCAACAGTAGCATTGCTGAGCTCCCGCTTAAAGATCCCCAAATGATCTGCAGACTACATACAGCAGTTTGGGAGGGTAGGGGGTCATGCTACGTGCTTCTTAAGTGCAGCCACTTCTGGGGTGGAATGCAAAAGCTGTTTAACAGCATGCGATTAAACAACAGTTCAGAATAGGAAGGTGAGAGAAATTGCCCAGTAACCTTTCAGCTGACTTTTCATTCCGAGCCACCCTGTTTCCCATTCCTGAAACCCGAATGGATATAAAATGGGACAGGGGATTATCTGTGTGGCTTTGGGGCAACACAGATACATACTGCAAATCTACCTCTCCTAGGGTTTCAGGTTCTAGGAGTTAACAGTTTGTAACATCTTTTCCCAGATGCATGTGCCAAGGCTTAAGATGCTGCTGGAGAAGGAGTCTAGTGTAAGTTCTTCCTTCTGCAGAAGGTCTGGATGACTTAGTGCGGGGTATCCAGAGAGGCTTGCAAGAGATGGGCTTTGGAGGCAGCCCTGGGGGGGAAGTGATCTGACCTGACAAAAGGACAGTCCTGCTGCAGCTTCCACATACTGATACGCAGCTGTTTCCAAACTGGGCACTGATGATTGTCACTGCACAGTTGACATAATGCCTCTGTGGATCAGTGAGTCTGCTATGCTGTTCCTTTGCAGCTAACACTGGAGGCTCAGAGGATATTCCCTAATGCTACTTTGTACTTTGCATCTCAGTTGCTTCACAAGCCATAATTAAGCTCTCTCAGCCCCCATCACGGATGTGGTGTCCCCTTATACAGACATGGAAACAAGTGCACAAAAGCCGAGCGGTTTTCTCAAAATAGTGCAGCGAATCTGTGGCGGAGGGTGGGAACAGAGTCTGGGAGCGCTTACGCCCAATTCTGGGTTCTCACCCTAATGCCTCATGGTGCATTCATGGGGCAGGAGCAGCTTGGCCAGATGAACTCGTGAAATCTGGGAACTGGCTCCCTTTGTGACTGCTGCAGGGCTAATGTTTCTGCAAGGGCCACTCTCATACATTGTCTCTGGCCCATCTTGGGGAGCTTTTTTCTGATTTGTGTCTGTTAGTTTCCTTTGAAGCAGTCTGA